ATTCTTTACAGACTTTAACAAACAAAATTAAAAGAAAATATTTATAGGTCTATTAAGTTAAGTAGATATAATAATAAATATTTCAATTAAGAAATCAATCTATATTTAAAAAAATATTTGAATATACAAAACATTTTGTAAGAATTTTTAAAAGCTAGTTAAGAAGATAATATACCAAATATATAATGAATAAATTGATTTTTTTGAAAGAATTTAACATTAAATAGGTTTGATAACAAATATTATCTTTTAGAAATCATTCTCTTCATTTACCAATATTCATATATTCAAGAAATATTTATTTCCTTGACAATACAAATTCTAAATACCATAATTTTCAGTGTAAAATACACAACGCAACACTGTACCAAAACAAAAGACTTAGACAAGACACAAACTTGATCGGAATCATCATTATCTTCCACATTTATGATCAGCATCATCAAAATGCATAGACGAATGCAGGGGCATTTCGGGCCACATTTAACCCATTGACTTCCCACGACGGCCTACCTCAAGTGTATTTTGATTGGATTGGAAAACCCAAAAATGGAAAAAGATGCGTGTGTCTAAAACGATCTATAGATGGTACACCAATGGTCGGTCCCATTTGTTCATATTTATCAGTGATTAAATGTTTTTCATGATTTTTGTAAGTGGTCCAAAACTTGTTTTAATCGATGGGGTGTTTTTATTTTTAATTATTATAATTTTTAAATTTAAGGTATTTTAACAATATTTGCTAAGTCGATTTTTTAACATAAACATACTTTTTAAATTACACTTTTTTCATTCATAGCGGTTTTTGTTAACTTTAAAAATACTTGATTAAAATATTTATGACATAAAATATGTTTTAAAAAAATGACTAACATCATCTAAAATATTTTCAAAATTATTTAAGTCTTTTATTATGATTTGTATTAAATGTTACGCTTGTTATTTAATTTAAACATGTAATTCGAATCTTTGAATTCAATATGCAGATATTTATTTTAATATTTCCAAGGTTTTTTCAGTATACTAAAACATTTTATTTATTTATGTTGCATTATTGTGTAATTCTTTGTTACTAAGCTTAATTTGATTTTAATTTTATATATTCACCATTTATTTGTCGTATTTAACTTTATTTTATGCTTTATTTACTTCGCCCCTTTTTTATGCGTTCTTAAAACCCGAATCACTTAATTTTCCAAGAAGTAGTTTTTCGCTGACTTTGCATTTTCTTCACACTATTTGATGTTTGATTTGCAACTCCATGTTTGGTGTGCAATTCCACGTTTTATTGTTGTTATTTCTTTTTTTACTTTTTGTTTGCCCCGCAAACATCATTTGTACAGGCAAACAAGTGGAGACATCGTGTTATCAGTGCGCCCAGTTGGTTTCAGCCGATCCATGAGTTTTACCATCGTGTGCATTTGATGGATTTGATCTTTCGCCATTGATCGCTGATCTTTGGATGTTGCTGGTGTTGCTGGTGCATGTTGGACACAATTTGGAAACAGCTCTTTGTTTTGTTTTCCCGGACAAACCGGTTCGCATGGTGATGCATTTGAAGCGCCGCCAATGGGATGAGAGGGTTATCCGTTTGCCCAGGCAAACAAGAATTCTAGATGGCTAATGGAGCTGCACAGCCGGGAAAATTCGCACGAAATGCCAAAATGCCGAGACGGCAACATTTCAATTGGCAAAGCGACCACGCAAACTTCAGAAAATTGCCAAACTTCAGTCAGTCAGCTGGCCACTTTTTAGAGCCGCAAGTCAAGTGTTGCACGTTGCCGTTTGGACGTTGGTTGTTGCCTCTTGAAAAATAGCAGCAGGCAACGGGCAACTTGCAACTTGGCCTGTTAATGAGACGCCGTCGACGTTGGTTGTTGGTTTGTTGTTCCGCGGAACCAAACTCGCTCAGATTGCCACAGGCCCCCAAACAGACTTGGCCAAAACCATAGACATATACTTAGTCAAAGACGCAGGGCACTGAGAAAATAAATACTAAACATTTTATTATCAATTCAGAGGATTTTATATCCATTTCTATCCTAAAAAGGTTTGGAATATAAGAAAATCCACTAGATAAAATACATACAGGTATGTTTAAGCCTTAAAACTAAATCAAAACGATCTTCTATAACTCAAACTACCATCTGCCTCCAAAAAAGATCCAGTTAAGAAGACTTCTAAATTTTTTATTGCCAATAATTCGACTTATAGTAAATTCAAGTTAGGAATATTCATGGTATGGAAGTTCAACTTTAAGTATTTCCTTGGCTAACATGAGTATAATTATTTTGTTTTAAGGCATTTAAAAATTAACATTTTATTATTGTTTTGATATTTTAAAAAATTGATATATTTCATATATAAACTTATTTCTCATTGTGTAGAATAATAGCTGCAGCCAGAGTCAATTGCCACATTCTTCCTTTTTTTCAAGCCGACGAAAGAGAATGGTTATTTTCGCATGCCCTGTAAATCTAGTATATTAATTGGGTAGATAGGTAAACATATACTTTTCTTAATAACATTATAATCATTTATTTAAAAATTCTGTTTAGCTTATAATTTAATTAACTGCCTTTTTTTGCACCACTTGATTTGTTTTTATCGCCTTGAGAAAGGTAATAAAAACAATATTTTATTTCCTCCAATTTCAAGTTGTTTTAGAACTGGATTATTAATGGTTCTTAGGGTTGTTAAAAGGAAATTGCGAAATGCGTAATATTTTATTATTTGTATTTTTTTTAATATTAATAAATTATCATCACAATTTACCTGTTTGTTTTGGGGGATTTTTTTAAGATCAAATTTGGTGATGTACTACTATCTACAGTAGATAGTAACCACAAAGTCTTGACACTTATGGTGAGTTTTTAAAAACATTTACCTATAGATAAACCGGCGGGCTTTTGGGGGCCTGCGATGTGTGTTTTGTTTTGTTTTTGGCACTGCTCTGGTTCCGCTTGCAATTGGCGCCTGTTGCAAGAACCCGCTGGCGAGATATGGCCAGAGCTATAGATATAGCTCTATCTGTATAGCTCTTTGGCTCTGACTTTTTAGCTGGCTATATGCCTGTATGGCTAACCGAGCCGCAAATTGCCGGCATCGGGTCGGCATGGGTAATTTGATATTGGCAACCAGACCAGACCGGACTCACTTTCAATGGATTTGCGTCAGTTTGCATTGCGAATATAATTTTGCACCACCAAATGGAGTGGGTTCTGTTGGATTTTGGTGGGTCGCCGCGATCACCTTTTCTTTTCTGTCCAGTCATCGGAAGATTCTCGTCAAAATCTTTTGCTGTCACCGAAACGAGTTATTGGCCAATGTCGGCAGATTGGCTGTAATTATGTTTCCAAACTTTTTGCGCCTGGCCTCTAATGCGATTGATCAGCAAGAAATTGTTGCCACATATAGTAATCATAGTCCCCTGGAATCTTCATGGCCATACCGGCCTCTTAGTTTTATTTACCTTTTTTGAATACCAATGCTGATGTCATTCACCCCATCGCCGACAGTCTTCAAACCTTTCACCGATGCGCCGTCTCACTTTTCATTGCCCCAGCTTTTGATTCTGTCGTGTCATGCCAATTTGCAAAACAGCCTTTCTATATGTGTAAAGAAAATAAATTCTAATTCAGATATATCCAAATCAAGTTCATTTAAATTTATTATTATTGTTAACGCCAAAAAAATGGGAACAAAGTGCATGCATTTGTTTTCTTTTTTTTAAGAATCTTAACTTAAAAGGTTGCTTGATTTGGCGGAATTATATTTTAATTGCAATTTTGTTGTTGTAATATTGTTAGACAGAATATAAATATGCTAATATTTTTTGATTAAATTAAAATTAAAAAAACCAAAGATCTTAAATAAAATACCTTTCATAACAAAAATTCAAAATCAACATCATATTTTCAAGATTATAAAAAATGTCATTCCTAAGCATTTTTTATTATCTTGAAAATAACACTTTTCTAAATATGACCACCAATTTGTACTCTATAAATGTAAGAATATCATCATTTTGCATACTCATTATACCTGAATATTAAAAGATAGAATATATAGATGCAAATATTTTTATTGTAAATATAATTTAAATTTCAAAACATCTAAAGTTCTTAAAACAAAAATTTAATTTCAAACCAACATCATATTTATAAGATAATAAAATGTTTAAAGATTGTGTCCTCTAAATTTGTAAAATAAATCAATAAATGTTATTGATTGTTATTAAATTTTTAAGTAAATGTTTACAGTAATTTGATTATGCCAATTTAAAAATTTAATATTTGAGAGATAAATTCTAAATTAAATTATTATTAGTTATAAGTTAGCTATTCTTAATATGTTAGAAATGGCCACCTCTTTTTTTCTTTAGTTTTATTACCAAAACTTGTAGCACTAGGATGTTCTCATAAAAAAAAAAAATAACTGTAAGAATGTTTTAATTTTGCATACTTATAATGCAAAAAGATTATTGTTTTTGATAAAACAAAAATATAGTTTTAGATTTCAATAGAGACCGAGCAATTTGTCATATCCACTTATCAGAGGCTTAATTGTGATAGCAGCAATTGGGGATTTATGGATGGCTTTCAGTCGATAGCTCGAAAGATAATGCCGAATGTGGGAAGAAGATTCTCTGGGAGACTCAACCAAATTAGCAGGTGAACAGTGGGGCAATGCAATTCACAGAGCTACGAGATCGGGAGTGGGAATCGGAATCGGAATCGGAATCGCTAAAGTAGCAGTCGCAGTCGCTCAAAATTCGGCATGCATTTGGTTTTGAAATTCGGTCTGTGGCTAACACAGATATATGGCGGCTCACAGATACTGACCTATACATTGAGACCCCCCAGTTTAGGCCCCCGAACCGCTGATCCGCCGAACCGCCGATCCGCCGAACCACCCAACCACCGATCCACCGAACCACCGAACCGCCGAACCTGAGCGGTCTTCGTATGCTCGGCGGCATTTGGACAATCAGTTGACGTTGAATGTTTCGTCTTGGCGGTCGCTTAATTTAATTCGCTGAACGCTGAACAAACGATACGAAATAATCGATCGTCGGAGTTACATCTTTCGATATTTGAATATTTTTCAAAGCCTAATCCATAGATAATAATTTTTTTCTGGTGTTCTTTGCATCCTTTGGTACTTGCTGAGTGTGTTTTTGTGTGATTATGTGCCAGAGAACTGAAAAATACTGAGCGACATAGAAAGTTGATTAGGATCAAGGATCCCTGACAGGATGTCTGTGGGTATTTTGACCCTGCTGTTGGCCACCATTGCCTGTGGCCCTCTGGCACTCGAGGGGGTGGTGCAGCCCACCTGCAATCTCAAGGACAACTGCAATCTGGGCGACAATCTTCTGGCCGGAGCAAGTTCCGTCTCCGAATCCGGCGATGTGTCCGCCGACAAGCTGGAGAGCAAAATAGCCTCGATCTTCGAGGATAAGGTTAACTATAGCCTCAAGTTGTTTCCCGACGATGCCACCACCACGATCCTGGAATATCAGACGGCTAATCTAAGCCAACTACACACCACACCGCCTGGAAACTACACAATACACCAGATGGAACGGGTTTCAATAACCGATGAAGAGGACGATCAGGTGGAGGAGGATGAAAGGGGTAAGTCAAGTGCCCGATCCATTACCGATCCATTATCGTCCGCACTTTCTCACGCCGCCCACATCGAGGCCTTGGGCATTACGCTCCAATCCATCGGTGATTTCTGCAATTGTAATGGGTATTTCGATTTCGATTGACCCACAGACCCACAGTTGGTGATTGCATAAGAGGCGCGTGCGTCAAATCAAAATCAATTGCTCGATTGCTGCGTTTTTTGGCCAGGTCTTGATCACCCCCAATGACGCACCTTTTTGGCCACTTCCGGCTATTTGTTGGGCCCATCCCGAAAATCAGCTAAAAATCTCCGCTTATCTAATCCCGTGTCTCGCCTTTTGTTACTCACTTATTCTTGTTAAAAGGTTCGGCCTTGTTGGACCTTTATTTTCTTTTCCGGTGCAAATATTTGCACTAAAAGTTAGGACCTTTCGGAATATCTAGGGGGGATTACCAGACAGTCGATATTCGCTGGTTCCTTGGAGCCGAAAGTGGCCAAGTCAAGGCAATGTGCGAAGTCTCACGTAAACGAAACAATTTTTTCTTTGTATTTAATTGCATTTTGCTCTGCATAATGTGATAAGGTCGCGACTCACGTAAGCGACACTCAGAAATTTGGAGGTTTTGCCCATATAATTGTTTCAACTGTTATCGCCTTAAATTACAGAAGTAATTATCTTAATTGCTAAGCAGCATCTTCACATAATTCAGTAGCTCAATTTAGTATTTACTTATCGTTACGTTATTTACTTTTCGCACTTGGCAGATATTGTATTAAAGCGCATTTTGTCATACTTGTATTATCTCATCGATTTAAATTGTTTTCATTTTATATTAGTTTGATTAGGCTTATTTTCTGGTGAAAATGAAATTCTACGGAAACAAACTCGATAAGGTCGGGTTTTCCAGCACTTAAGTCGAATATCGTATTTTATATCGTAACTAATATCGTAAAATATTTATAATTGTTTCATCAAAAATAAATGTAATAAATTTTGCGCGTGTTTTTCGGTAAGGGATTTGAATATCGTAACGTCGATATATGAATCTGTAGCAAATATCGTAAAATACTTTGTCGAACAATTTACAATTTAAAGTTAAATTAATCTAATACCCCTGAGAAAATAAATTGGCGTGCTAAGCTTGAATATCGTAAGCAATATCGTAACGAATACCGTAACCGATTAACAGATTTTTACCCCCTATATCATCAAGTACCGTCACAATTTCCCAACGTAATGCCAACACACTTCCGCACGAGTACTCCAAAGTGCCAAAGCGTAACGAATATCGTTTTAGCAGTGCCAATTCTGAGTGTTATGTCCAATGAAGATGTTCCTCCCATCAAAATCGTAGTCGTACCTCCCCAAAAACGGTGCATAAAATAATAAAAAACCTAGGGGCCCAGCCCAGTCGCCGACCCAGCTTAAGTGGTTTTTGGTTTCGGTTTCGGTTTTTTGCCCACTTTGTGGCTGGTTTGTTTGTAATCGATCTTCGCGAGAGGTTGTCGCTGATTTTTTGCTGTTGTGCTTATTGTCGCGCCTGCGAATGTGCATATGCCATATCTCGAACCCATCATCCATCTATAAGTGCGCGACCACTTGACCAGGCCCCAAGTACCGTTAAAGGCCTGTCATAAAACGCAAAACATGTTACCCCCTATCCGCCCAATAAAAAAAAAAATCACGCTAATCGCGAAAAGTCTTACCTAATGATGATGGTGATGGAAATGCAAATGGAAATGACAGCGATGATGAGTCGTCCACGAAAAGGTTAAGATATCTAACCCGTTAAGATAGCAAGAACTTCGAAACGGTGGCAAATTGGTCAGTTCAACAAGCTGTTTTTCCACCGGAGGTACGAAGTTAAACTGCCAATTGACTTGGTAAATATTGACTTTAAAGCCCAGTAAAGTTGAGTTGGGATGCACTGAAGAGAATTAATGGACTTAAAAAGTACTTAAATGGAAAAATAAATGGGAAATTTAAATTGATTCATAGTTGAGTTGCATAGTTTTAAGAAACTTTATTGCTTGATATGGTAAAATCCTATGGTTCTAAAACATTATATTCATTTCCAATGAAAATGGAAGTGGAATAAATATCAACATTAAATTGAAATTAATTCTATAATAAATATTTTAAGGTAATTGTGTCTTTATGTTGTACCTAAAAAATATTTAAAGTACCTATATTTATATTGATAACTTTTATATATTATAAATTCTTAAAGATTTCAAACACTTAAATATATTAAAAAGTCTTAAAACCAAAGAGATTTTTAGTGTAATATAATTTTCAATATTTTTTTTTCATATTTCCTTTAAAAAATTGTTATTATAAGAAACGAACCCATTTAATTTTCTCAGTGTTAGCTGGGCAAACAAACAAAACAGCGTTCACCCGGGGACGAAGTCGATCGTGATCGCATTGCAGTGGCTGGCAAAATGTTAACGAGAACAAAGTGACAAGTGGAGATCGATTTGTTTCGATTGTTTCCAGCGGAGGTGCAAATAAATAGATGGTTTTTGCGAGCTTGTCCGCCGCTAATTGGCAACATTAAATTGTTTTGGCAAACAAGCCCGGCCCATTGTGCACTATCAATCGAGATGTATAATGGTAAACAGATATGGGCTAATATATGGGTACACAAATCAAAGCCAAGCAGCCGCAAAACCCCCCGAGTCATTTATGGCCCATTCACCGACACAATTGGCCATTACAACCGATGCGATTCTGGTTGGCCGGTAACAAAATACAAAAAAAAAAAATAAAAATCGAAACCAGATCCACTAACTAGAACGCTCTTGGGTAATTCGCAGCGCCAAGGATTGCGCAAGGATTTGTTGGCCAGGAATATTGGCCAACATTCGCGAGTCCAGCTGCCGGTTCGGTTATTTGGCTCTTGGCTTTTGGCCGACTCGGTACTGTTCAATTTTCAGTTTTCAGTTAGCAACTCGGCCAAGTGGGTCAGAGACGAATACGAAACGCACACTCAGCTGAGATAGACGGTTAATTAAGCCGCCAACTGGCAGCCAGTTGCCACTTGTTGGCCCGGTCCAAAGTGCGATTCTTGTTTTACACATGGCACTAGCACATTACAAATTCTCTGGTCGCCATTTAGCATATCTTCGAGTTGGCGTTTTACTTTTCATTTCGCTGGAGAATCAGTAGATCAACTTGGTTTTTATTGTTCGGTATTTACGATCATGCGTTGGCTGGGGTTATAGTTGGGTCTAGGGGTTCATAAAACCCGCCATTGCTTTCAATTTGCCATTCCCCAAAACTTTTTATGGATCGGCATTATATTGCATAATAGTTCGTTGGAGGGTTCGCATTTTGTACCATTAGGATCTTGCTTTTTATGTTCCTGTAAAATAATATTTTTAGTATCTCTACTTATTTCGCTTTGTACCATTACGATCTTGCTGTTTACGATCCTGTAAAATTATATTTTTAGTATATCTATTTAATTTATATGATGTTTGTAGTCCTGAAAACATAAATATTGGTAATATTATTATAGTAAGCATATATTTGGCTTGAGTGATATAAGGCCGAATGGAAAACCAACCACATGTTTCCTAGCACATTGGAATTCACTCCCCGTGGTGGAATCGTATTTCAAGGGAGTTACCAACGCTCACGACACTTACGAACTATCCTAAAGATCTGTTTTGTCATATCAATGCCTCAGAATCTTCATAATTTGCGATGCTAATGAGCTAAGGGAACCGAACCGAGCCGGTTGTAAATGTTTCGCACGGCTGCCATTGTTGCCACCATCTTCATGCCGGGACTGACAATTGATCGGAGCGGGCGTAGAATTCTCCGCGATTCTTCCGTAGCGCTGGCAAGTTTTCCAAATTTAGTTCGGACCGACCGTATAGATAGAATATGACGACAGGTGGGCACTCGACAGTCGGATCTCGTCGCAGTCTGACGCATTTTAGCACTTTGGGGACTGCCCAGAGATCCCCATTCCCCAACCCCCTTTCGAGCTACTAAGTGATCCCCCTTCTACGCCCCTAAAAGACGGATGCAGGCGGCGACTGATATATCGATGTTCGATGGCTGGAGCCACGCGATCGGCATTCGAAATCAGAGCTGCCTAGCATAAAAAGTGACCGACGACAGTCGCGCCATGATAATGAAAAATGTTAATCGGATCGGCGGACGACTTTGGCATGCTGATGAAGACGGGATTTGGTATCAGACTTGGAAGCTCTCCCAGATCCAGGGGATGTTCATCCAACCCTCTAGCTATTTTTTCTTTTTTTTTTTGGCTAAATGGCGGCGCCTCATTATCCATCTTGGATCTGAATGAATGGCTGCCAGGCCGACTTCCTGTTTCCAACAGCCACGTGCCCAGGGGCCTGACCTTGTCCAATTTGGTGTCCACATGTGCATATTGTCTGCCTTATAGGGCACAAATGGCCTGCAACCGAAACAGATCCCATTTTGAGGGTACATGATTACTAATCAGTATATATAATATAAAAAAAGTAGAAAAAATAGGTATTTGTATATTCAAATAGACTAGAATCCCAATTTTTCTGTAAGTGCTTTTTAATTTTACTTCTAAATGAAAAAGATTATAGTAACTAATCCATTTTTCAACATAAGAATAGTTTAATCACTGCATATCAATTTCTAAATTTTCTTAAAATATAAATAATGTTAAATAATTCCCACTTACCATTCTAAGCTTTATTGAACATATTTGTAATTTCATTTAATTTTTTATTTTCAAAACCAAAACTAAATTCAAATTAATTATCTATTATGGCCTTACATCATGCATAGTTTCTTTAATCCTTGCTGTGTAATTTCAACCAAATTAATAATAGTTAAAAATGAGCTTAATGCTTATTAACGATTTTTAAGCCCCATTTCCAATATCCTGTACTCATTTGGCATATGACATAACACAAAAACTATCCAAAATGTATAACGATAACTACTCATAACCAATCACCTTAGTACCGATCAATTTTATGTTTCCGATACATTGTAATTTTGGTTATGATGATTGTTCATATTAAAGCACAAAAGTATCCACTGAGACTTAAGTGTTTTTTCGAGCCGTTAGAAGAGTATTTATATTTGATGATCACGGGTTAGAGTTTGCATGTAAATATGAATAATAATTTTATGGCTTGGCTGGCTTGCAACAACGTTTGCTTATTTGGGTTACATTGAATCACAGGTTATTTTAACTCAGGTGCTATATATTGGCAAAAAGTCGAACCTCCTTTATTTTAGTGCAACAATTTTAACAAGAAAATGGTTTAACTTAAACGGGGTCATTTGGTTAATGTTACAAAATAACATATTAGATTCATAAATGGCAAAGATATGATATCTGTGTGGGCAGTATTAGATAGTGCTGTTCACTATAATTTACTTAACTGCCCACTTTAATTATTATCGGTAAATTCACTAAGAGGATTGAATTGAGTTCAAATAACTTTAAGATACTGCAATACAATTTTGTTTATAGAAAACATTGATTGGAGCTTATTTGAATTCTTTGTCATATTAGGAAATATTAAAAAATACAAAGCAATTTTGAAATGTTATTACATTTATAATTTAAATATATTTTATATTTATATTTTACTTTTTAATGTTAACATAATTAAACCAATAATCTCTTTATATTCCAGCTTACTTGTACAATATTGGAAAGCGTTTTCTGGCGATTACGCAACCATTCGATTCCGCCAGAAATCCGGATGCCTCGTTGCTTTGTCGTCGGCAGATGCATCAGTTTCTTAATGCCTTGGACAACTTCGATCTGTGGGCTCTGAAGAGTGAGTATACAAAAGCCATGTAAACAAACTTGAATCGAGAGGTGGTGGGGGCAACTGCAAGGTCGCCAGCCATGACAGCCAACAAATTGGCCAGTTCCAACAGAAGTCGGCTGGGGTTCTAGTTCTGCAAGTGGATGGTTGGCTGGATGGATGCCTGATAGGCGGACCCGTAGACCCATAGAACCGGAGAGCCGTAGAACCAAAGAACCAGTCGGGGGACGTTCGGCGAATTCTCGAATTCGAGTCATTGCCAACTGGCAGCAGGTGAAGCTGCAGTCGCAGTCGACGTGACCGCCAGACGAGTCGACATGAATCGAAAGACCCCAAAGTCAAATGCATCAATTGATACAGTTATCGACAAGTTAATAGTACACGAGAACATGATCAACATTTTTTTAAACTTTTTTTTGAAGCAATTTTGGAATACATTTAATTGTTAGGTATACTCAAAGCGAAAACCCTTGAAACTATATTTATTTTTGAAACTAGATCCAAAATGATAGCTTATCAAATATTCAACTTGTATTCACTTTTTGAAAAGTATTTTTCTAAAGTACTATATATTTTTAATAACAATATAAGATATGATATATGATATGATATGATATGATATGATATGATACGTTATGATATGATATGATATGATATGATATGATATGATATGATATGATATGATCTGATATGATATGAAATGATATGATATTATAATAGGATATGATATGATATAATGTGATGTGATATGATATGATATGATACGATATGATATGATATGATATGATGTGATACGATATGATATTATATGATATGAAATGAAATGAAATGAAGTGATATGATATGATATGATATGATATGATATGATATGATATGATATGATATGATATCATGTGATATATGGTATTATATGATATGATATGATATTATATGATATGATATGATATTATATGATATGATATGATATGATATGATATGACATGAAATGATATGATATGATATGATATGATATGATATGATATGATATGATATGAGTGCTTATATCAAAAATATATGTAGTATGATATGATGTTACAGATTATTCTAGTAACAATTTTAAGAATCAATACAGTGTTAAGTCCAGTGAAGCTACAACCTTTATCCGCAGAATGGTTCTTTGTCTTAAGTGACCACAAAAAACTTTAAAGAAATCCAATTGTTGAGTTAATTCTTGATTGTTTATTTTTATAAATAAGATATTATAAACATAAATACCTATTTTACCTGCGAGTAAGTAATTTCTGTTTATCTGAGTGTAATTGAAAACATTTTCCAAATATTTCGAATAGTTTAGGAAGTAAGTGACTCATAATTTTGTCCGGCACTGTGACTGCAGCTGTATGTGATCTAAAGTGAAGGCCAATCGTCGAACTTTACCCACATTCACACTAATACTCACTCTCGGATAGCCGGCCATGTGGCAATGCCAGTTGCATCTAGCGAATTTCCAGCCAAGAGCAGCAAAATTGCAAACATGAGCGAAAATAGCGATTGCAATTGCAACAGCGAACGCGAACTTGACACAAAAGACCGCAACGTCGTCGTCGGCAGAGGCTTAGAATCAGAACGAGAAACACTACGAGTTGCGATCACAGTCAAGGTCACCACTGCCCACCGCCCACTGCCCCATACCCCCATCGAAACACCCACCTTCAACCGGAGACCCGAAAGCGAAACGTGAATGGATCACACTTTCAGCTATTCGAGGAATCTCCGAATGAATTAAAAAGATGTTCTAAGGCTAAGGTCGAAACATGAAGATCTTTAAGTTTATAATGGGTTTCGCATTTTGACTTTTATACTAAGTATGTGATAATCAATGGCTATATTTTAGATCTTATATACAAAGATTGTTAAAGATTGATTGGTGATAATAAATGATGCTATAAATAAAGCAATAGAAATGAGGTGATCCTTAGAACGCACATTCTTAGTACTAAAAACCTATTTAATATTCATGTATTCTTTGGATAGTACGTATTATAAAGTTTGCCTTAATTGAAAATTCCTAACCCTTTACTACTTTTCAACAATCAACGTTATCAAGAAACTCATAAAAAAATATGCTAATTTATCTCAAGTTTATTGACATTAATTTGATGAAGAGAACAACATTTTTTTTGTTTACTATCAAAACTGAAGAGCCAATGGCTCTGACTTACTTTAAACAAAATAAAAGCCGGCTTTATTGAAAGAATTTGAAATTAAATTTGCATAGAAATCGATAATCGCTATTTTTAGAACCGATACAGCGAAATAAATTATGCAGACTGGTTTTAGGCAGAGTTTTTAAGCAATTTAATCAATTCAAGCTAAATATATGGATAAATGAAATATATGAGGGTCACAAGACTATGTCTTATATTATTACAATTGCCCTTTTTTAATTTATTATTATTATCAATATATAAACAGTGCACGATGCCAGTGGCAAATTGAACTCGGGCATTTTGAATGGCAACATCAATCAACCCGGCGACTTCGATCAGTGCTTGGGGATTCAACAGCGGATGAAGGATGAGGATGTGGCCAAGGATCAGGACGAGGACTCCATTATCCGGGGCCAGTACTGTTTGGCCTACGCTCAACCAGTTCTTCCGCACAATTCGAAGCGTTTGCAGAGCTTCTTCAAGCTGATCCAATCACATGGGCCTTTCAAAAGCGAGTTCAACGACGTGAGTAACCAAATTTGAACTAAAGTAAAAGATAATAAAGTTCCTTTAATGGAGTACGTGATCGGGATGGCAAGTCTGACAAATGAATCACTGGGGCTCACAGAATTTGATATATTTTCTCGAAAATATGTGGTATAATATAAGTATAAAATATATTTTATAAGTTTTCGCTGAAAAATTGGTTACTAAATTATTTTTAGAGCGTCATAACTTTGATATCATAACATTTTTAGTGTTGTAACATAAGAATGAAGAAGTACAAACAATTAAGATCACAATTTTAGTATGTAGGCTTGTCTCTATTAACTTAGCTCAAGCCCCAGCGTTACCAAAAATGTGTTTGCTTTTTTCATAACTCTTTGATGGTGTATGTGAAAGTTTTAATCTGGCCAAATAGATTGATTAACATTGGGCCGCTAAAACGTTCGGCTTCGACATTGAACTTGACCAAAGACGAAAAGTGCCAACGGAAAGCAAAGCAAAATAATGAAACGCGATAGATGGCCGCAAAATGCAAATCACAAATCACAGCGCAGAAATCGAAGCTCTAAGCGGAGCTCGGCCAATGAACCCAGAAATCGGACAACCGGACGGATAATATACGGATCTTTACACGAAGAAAAAAACATTTTAATATAAATTGCTTGTTGTGATTTATTCACTTATGTGATCATCATTGTGGTGCACGTAGTGACGAAGTGCACCTGGAGGGTGAGCGCAGGCGACTTTTATATATTAAACAAGAACAGCTCTTAACGAGGCAAAATAAATAGTGGCGATCGCACCTTCAACACTTAAAAGTTTTGATATAAGGTTTTGTGCCGAAAAATGAATTTACTATCTAACAAGTAAAGTGTATAAAACTTTGATCCTCTATATATTCGGTAATTACTTTTACTTATATTTATTTAATAACAATCATGAGATGACAAAACTGACTTTGGATTAGCCAATAAATTACAAGAGATATGTTTTAACAAATATCATATTTTAGGTGTGGCTTAAGGTTTCGTTCATAGTCTGCTCATTCTTGATAATTTTTTTCTGGATACGTGGCTTTTTGAAGACCAGGGTAGTGCCTCCTGGAGGACCAGCAGTGGAAGTAGTCGAAGATCGCTTTGCGTTTCGTTGCTACTCCTAGCACCCCACAAATCCGACCAGTGAGGTCCCCAATCCCTCGACCCACCGTTAAACCCTCTGAAATACTTTCAAGTACTCCTGGGACTGCCCACGAAGACCTTTGAATAATGGGTATAGCCTATAGCCTATAATCAAAGGTCTTCCGCTGGCAGAACCAGGAGTTATTGAAAGCATCCCTGAAGGTTAAACGGTGGGTCCGGAGATCAGAGACCACAAAGTTGGGATTTTGGGGTGTCAGGACTAGAAACAAATCGCAGAATGTTAGAACTGGAGCTGGAGTTGTTAAGACCCGGGACGGCAGCAGCAGGTGTGACTGGTATGGATGGCACTCCCATCCTTGGATTCGCTTGGGGCTGTTCAGGGCCCTTGTCCTTTAGGTCGGCCATCAGGACCACGTGACAGTGGCGCCAGGTGGGCAGCATTGGTAACCGGCTCGCACTCCTTGCTGGAAACCTGAAGCTTCAGCCCCTGCTTGCTCCTCATCAGCTCGTCGGTCCTCTCCAGCTGCTCCATCTCCAAATCCTCGACACCCACGTTGGAAAGGTTCGCCAGCGTGACAAAAGGTTTGGCCTTCACCAGTTTGTCCCTTGCCAAAGCTGAAGCAAATCACTCAAAAAATCTTTGTCTTCACTTTCGGGTTTCAACTTACCGTAAGCCAGGTCTAGGCTAACGCCACATGCCTGCGGTTCCACCTCCAATCGAAGTTACTTAAGCAGACTGTCCAGACCAGAACTGATATCCAAGTCGTTCGTTTTCTTGTCCGTCGTCAAAGGGAATATTTTTCAAGTGCTTTCAAATGTCATGTGAGTTTGCTAAGGCCAACTAGATTAGCTAAAATCTTTTCAGGCTTGCAAGTTTGGCGGCAACTCTGGATTTATGGTATTTTTATGGAGTAGAAACTTTATTTAATTGATATTTTAGAAAATTGTAGTAACAGTTATTAAAAGAAATGTCATATATTCAAAACTTTTACATTTATTCTCCTGAAGTAAAATTAATTAAAATAAAATCGTATAGTAATTCATTTATGTCGTTTATAAACTTCTATTATCTTAAAAAATAGGTTTCGAATGACACCTTAATTGTTCAAATCCGAGAAATAGGCCATAACTTTTGAACCACTAAAGCTATTACTTATTAGTCACTCTACAATAGAAAATACTCGTATTGGTAGAAGCTTAAATATATTTATTTATTATTTATTTTTATATTTAGATAGTGAATTTATTTTGTCGCATGGCAAATAATCTTTCGTCGAATTTCAGATTTGAGTCAAAAAAAACTCTTTTTTTGGGGGTTTTTTTGATCGTAGCTCAAGCAAATCAAATAGTACAACTGTAGAACCGACTGTTTTGGACAGCTTGCTTACTATCCTAACGATTTGCATCACTTCTGGGGAAATTTATTTTTTGGCCAATTTTTGCATTTTTTTAAGGGTTCGCATCAGGATTTTTATGATTTCACATTTTAGTCAAAAAAACTCTTTTTTTTGGGGTTTTTCAATCGTAGCTCAGCCAAATCAAGGAGTACGGCTATAGGACCAACTGTTTTGGACAGCTTGCTTCCTATGCTAACGATCTGTATCATTTTTGGAAAAATTTATTTTTTGACCAATTTTTGCATTTTTTTAAGGGTTCACATCAGGATTTTTTGGATTTCAGATTGTAGTCAAAAAAACTCATTTTTTTTGGGTTTTTCAATCGTAGCTCAGCCAAATCAAGGAGTACGGCTATAGGACCTACAGTTTTGGACAGCTTACTTCCCATGCTAACGATCTGTGTCGCTTTTGGGAAAAATTTTTTTTTACCAATTTTTGCCTTTTTTTTAAGGGTTCAGGTTCACATCAGGATTTTTTGAATTTCAGATTTTTGCCAAAAATTCTTTTTTTTTGGGTTTTTCAATCGTAGCTCAGGCAAATCAAGGAGTAAAGCTATAGGACCGACTGTTTTGGACAGCTTTCTTCCTATCCTAACGATCTGCATCACTTCTGGGGTTTTTTAATTTTTTGTCCAATATTTGCATTTTTTTAAGGGTTTTTATCATGATTTTTTGGATTTCAGATTTTAGTCAAAAAACCTCTTTTTTTTGCGGTTTTTTAATCGTAGCTCAGCCAAATTAAGAAGTACAGCTATGGGAACGACTGTTTTGAACAACTTGCTTCCTATGCTAACGATCTGTATCACTTTTGGAAAAATTAATTTTTTGATCTATTTTCGCATTTTTTTACGGGTTTACATCATTTATTTGTTGTCAGATTTTAGTCAAAAAACTCTTTTTTTTTTGGGGGTTTTTCAATCGTAGCTCAGCCAAATCAAGGAGTACAACTGTGGGACCGACTGTTTTGGACAGCTTGCCTTCCATTCTAATGATCTGTATCACTTTTGGGAAAAATTATTTTTTGACAAATTTTCGCATTTTTTAAGGGTCACATGTTTTGTTTTATCAAAAATCTTTTGAAAATCAATAAGTTTTCCGTTCAGGTTTTAAATTTAAGAAAACTCAACAATTTGTATTGCTTTGGAACGGTTTCTAAATACATTATACATTATTTAAATATTATCAACAAGTTCTTTAATATTTCTTATTTATATATGTTATGTATAACATCGCTTTTAATACTCTTCATTGGTATGCGAAATCAGCAACCCATTAATAAGGGTAATAATTGAGAGCCCCGTGTGAACAAGCCACTTGCCGATAAAAGATCGTTTAGATTAGAACAGATTAATCAATTGTAATTGTAAACCTAGCAAGTAAGTGAATAATTGGAACAAACGCGACCTGGCTTAATTGAATTGCCCGGAATCCCGTTCAACTAGTCATTGTTTACTGATGACCAGAGGTCACAGACCTCGTTGATTCACCAACCGATTAACCTGGGGGACAGGGGAGCTCTCCTGCGTCATTACCCGCTTATCGCTAACCGGCCGATCCGCTCTGATCCGTTCTATATTTTGTAATTCCAGCCGGGTCACCGAGTGCCACGCTACTCGCTGATCAACTGGGGCCTCTGCGTCCCCTCCGGCTGCTCAGCCCGGGATGTGGAGTACAGTGTGGCCGAGTACCTGGCCAACCAGACCACCGCCACGGGCATCACCTTCAACGTCCGCGTGGAGCCCCAGATGTGCCAGGTGCGGGACCAGCGGCCCTGGGACCGGAACACCACCTGGGCGGTGCGCTTCTTCCTCCTCGTGCTCTCCGTGGCGATCCTGTCCACTATCTACGACCGATCCACCAAGTCGCAGGGCAAGCAGAGTGAGTTCTTGAATATAAATATTACAAAATATTAATATATTTCATAGCTATAAAAGTATTATTTAATAGAGGACTCAGATAAAATAAAACCTAAATTAGCAGGTGATATACTTAGATTACCATACCTTGACATATGTTCTTTAATACCTATATTATTCAGACGAGAAAACTACTAGCGAGCCTCCAATAGCAAAGTAAAAGTTCAAGTTAAAAACAATTCCAGTTAGAGAAGAAATATTTGTTATTGTTTTATGTTTTTAAAGGAATTTTTATGATATTCAGTATTTATTTTGCTTAAAGCAAGGGACCCTGACTCAACTAAGACGAAGTTTAAAATTGACACCGATATATAATTTATAATCATCAGTATGAATTCCTTAAATTGTCTAACTTTGCCGATCTCAAACCAATTACCACTGCAATTATACTACCATTAAACTAAACACTGTATAAAAAAATCGACTTAATAGAGTCAATACGGGATCGGAACAAACATTCCAAAAGAACCATTTTAGAATCAGTAAAAAAATATTTTTTTTTTGTTTATTGGCTGTGAGGTGTTTTGTGCGATTTGAAAAAAGACTAAAATCAATTAAATTTTCAGACGCCTGGTTCACGGCCTTTTCGTTGGATAAAAACCTGCGCTGGCTGTTTAGCACGAGTAGTGCTCCCGGGGACATTGAGGCGGTCCATGGCATTCGTTTCCTGAACGCCATCATGTTGATCTTTTCGCACAAGTCGATGGCCATGTTCTTCAATCCGTACAATAACCGCACGGCCATGTCGGAAAGCCTGGGTCAGCCGTGGACGGTGATTGGACGAGCTGCCTCCCTGTACACGGATCCCTTCCTGCTTTTCAGTGGAATGCTCACGGCTTACTCGCTATTCGGTCGTCTCATGAAGCAGCAACCCATACGGCTGAAGAACGAGTACATTAGCCGGCTGATGAGGTAAGAAAATATTACAATGTGTGATATGATTATTTTTACGAACCTTATTTTACCCCCTTTAGGATTGTTCCGCCTCTAGCCGCCTTGATCCTCTTCTGCACGTATGTGCTGCCCCTATGGGGCAGTGGACCCCAGTGGAACCTAGTGGTGGGCCACCATGCGGACATCTGCAAGAAGAACTGGTGGCGCAATCTGCTCTTCATCCACAACTACTTCGGTTTCAGCGAGATGTGCCTGACGCACACGCACCATCTGGGCATCGACACGGAACTCTTCGCGGTGGCCCCAGTGCTCATCCTGGGACTCTGGCGGTGGCCCAGACGGGGTCTCTTCACCCTTCTGCTCCTCTGCACCGTGGGAACGGCGGCTAGGTACTACACAACGATTGTCAACCAGCTGTCCAACTATATCTACTTTGGCACCAAGTAAGTTTGCAAAATGATTACCCTTAAAGATCTATTAGGTTAGGCTACCCATTGAGGTAATGGAATAACATTATATACCATAGTATCCACACATAAGTGTATGATTTAGTTGAATTTGTTGTTTGAAACGCGAATTCTTTAGCACAGCTTGGCTAAACGAGTTTTTCTCTTCCTTTAGTATATAAACGCGAATTATTTAGTATAAGCAGTGATATATAGAAGGTCTCCCAGTTCTAATCAGTTATTTTTTCTTTAGGTAGAAGTTGTGAGGTTCCCTAATCTAGAACAACCAATCATAACCGATTAGGTGTTATAAGGGTTACCAATGATTTCCTAAAAGAGAGGAAAATATTACCTTTTCTACACATTCGATTAGTGATACTTCAGCTAATCCCCTATTATTTTAATCTCCAGTATTCAGCGCCTGTTCCGTACCGCCGACTACATGTACTCGTTCCCGCCCCACCGCTCCACGGTGTACATCATGGGCATCCTGCTGGGCTATGTGCTGCGCAAGTATCAGAACGCCAAGTTGAGCAGCCTGCAGCTGCGACTGGGTTGGCTGGTGGCCACCGTATGTGTCCTGGCCTCGCTCCTGGGACCCGCACCCATGGGGGACATCAACTACGTGTACAACTCCACGCATGCCGCCATATACGCCGCCTTTGCGCCGATCGCCTGGTGTCTGTTCTTCTCCTGGATTGTGTTTGTCTCCCATAATGGATATACAAGTGGGTGCTTCTATTCCTTGGGTTTTGATTCCTTGAAGCTAATACAAGCCTCTCCAACTAGATAAACTGACGAAGCTGTTTGCCTGGCGCGGTTTCCAGGTGTCCACAAAGCTCTCGTACGCCATTTACCTGACGCAGTTCCCCGTGTTCTTCTTCAATGTCGGCCGAAGGCGTCACATTCACCACTACTACAACTTTGTTTCGATTATTGTGAGTGTTAAAGGAAAGATTCTGTTAAGAACCCATTGATAATAATATTTTATACTCACCTCAGCTCGATACCAACGAATTCATTTCGATCTTCCTGGCCTCCGTGGCCCTGACGGTGCTCTTCGATGCGCCCTTCCAGAACCTGAAGAAGCTGCTCATCAAGCGACCCACTCCTGCGAAGGTGACGAAGGATAGCCCGGCTTCTGGGACGGAAAGTCAGGATGCGACAACATTAGCCTCAAAGCCCAGCAGCACTGCCCTCCTCAAATCGCATCCACACTCCGATTAGTCTGGACACACTCTTTCTTAGCTATGTAACTTGTAAATGTCTTAGCATTTAGTGGCAATATGTTTAGTAACCCCAGCGAAATCCCCAAGATCCCCATATCCCCAATGTTTCCCATCCAATCCGTCCATCCCGCCCGAATCCCAAGAATTCCCGCCCTTAGTTTTAGTGGAACGCTTTATACATTGTAAATTGTACTGTTAGTCAAATCGAGCGACAAATAAGAACCGAACCGATTCGTAGTCATAAACCAATCAATCACTGCTTGATGTACGATATTATCTTGCTTGCTAAACCGGGCTTCGAGAGGAAGTCACTGCTGGACCCCCATATATCGAGATATTGGGACCCCAGACTGAGACTCTCGAAGCCTTTGTTTTTTTAGATTACTTACGTTACCTTAAGCGAGGTCGAATGTCAGTTTTTTTTAATGGTAATTTAATAATAAATCATATAAATATGTTACAAAACCTTTAGCTTTGATTGTTTATATTGTTTCCTCAAAGTATGCAATATTCAAGTTCAGAACATACAGTCGAAGAACCTCTGGAAGTTGTAAGCAAAAGCCAGTTAAAGTTTGAGAAGCTCAAGTTGGTTATATCTTAAAACTGGTAAAGGTTTACCGGTACTAGAAGAAAAACGCCACGATCAATTTTTTAGAACTGTAAGACCGAAAATTCCGCAACAGACCATTGGTTCTTATGTTAACCTCCGTATTATTCTATTATAAGTCAAAAACATTCTAAAAAAACAACATCTTTCTAGAAAACTATTAATAATCTTCGAGTGCCTTTAACAAATACCAAGAGCTATAAATGCTAAAAAAGTTATTAGGTTTATCAAAATTTTGCCAATTTTGTCTGTTGACAATTAAAGAATGGCTCCTTAACCTTCTACTTATAACTATATAACAGCCAAAAACGCCTAAAAACAATTTGCTATAACAAGCCTTTACGAAATGTAATGATTGATTTTTAGGTATAATGACATCTGTTCATTGCAATTCTTTAGAAGGAACTAGATTAGCAAAAGGTATGACTTTGATATATTCTAACAAACGACTTTAAAAGTAGCGAACCTTTCGAATTTTAAACGTTAATCTTAAAGCTCAATTTAGTATTTATAAATTAAGGCCGCAGAGAATATGATAAAATTTGGATTTCTCGTATTGCTGAACTAATTGCTAGTCTTCTGAATTATTTTATTAACTTTAATTGGTGTTATTTCCTATTGGACTCGACTTTGGTTTATTTCAAGAATGAGCGTTAATATTATCTACAAGCCTATATAGAATAGATCTCTTCTGTATTCATTTTATAAACAGCCCCTGAATGGACTATAATATAATTCTGTTGGTTGAAATGGAACTCAAACACATTGCCTGCCTAACTATCAACATTTTTCGGAGAATCATTATGGATACCTAGTTTATAAGATTTTACAATTAAACACAATGTATCATTTTATAGTAATCAGAACTTGAACTTTAAGAACAAAAAGCTGCTGCTTAGATTCTTTCATAACCTCTTTATGATATTTACAGGAATAAAATTGCTGAACGTGATTAATTAATAAACTTTCACAATTGAATCAGTGATACATTGGAGTTATAGCAGTTTTTGCGAAAAATGTTTTAAAGAGATTATAATTACTAAAAATCGATTATTCACTATGATTTTGTTGCTAATTAGGTTCTCGATAAAACATGTTGAATAGTTTTCGAAGAAAATCAACTTTACATAGAAAATGTGCACGCTGTTTTTTGTTTGATTAGTACGTACAGCTTCAGGTTCCAATTATTGATCAATGATACTTTGTGTTCATTCAAGGGGTAAAATTTTTGTCTACAAAGTTACATAGCTTGTATAAAACCTTAAAAAAAAAACTGTTTGTGGGAAAACCACGAGGATTTTGCGCCCTACTTGGGGTTATGCAGTTGGTGTATAAGCATTTTGGCGGTTTCCCCGCTTGCTTCGTGGTATTTTTCAGTCACATTAAAAAAAATAGCTTTTACCGTTTCACTTTTCTTGCACAAACATTAAAAAAATAGTCACCAGATTCACTTAATAAAAAAAAACGTTCATTTATTAGCGCTCGAGCGATTTATTAGCCTTTTTGGGGCCGTAATTAGTGGATTTTAGATGGTGTTTTCACGCAGATCGGCTAGAGGCGCTGTCGTTCTGGTAATAGGCAGCTGGCTATCTATTCTACATATCTTGAGGGATACATAAAGAGTAGATGGGTCCTACTTGCTGGACTGAACGGCCTTCTTGGGCTTGGCCTGGGTGCCCTCGCGGAATCCGTTGCGGAAACGGCGGCGCACGACCTTCAGGTGCTGCATGCGACCGGTTCCGGTGGTCTTCCTCCTCTTGGCCTTCACCGACCAGTTGTCTATGGTATAAAGAATTGAATTACTATCAGGTAACTACATAGATATAGGTGCTAACTTACAGGAACGCAACTTGGCGGCGGGGTAGCCGCACTGGGCGCAAGTCGACTTTTGGATGTGGTAGGAGGAGCGTCCACAACGACGGCACAAGGTGTGCGTCTTGTTGTGGCGTTTACCAAAGCTGGAGGTACCCTTCGTCTGTTGGTTGATAAAGAAAACAAAACATTAGTTATTGTTAATAGATCACATACAAAAAAATGTTAAACAAAATAAATTCGCCACTGAATTTCCCACTGTTTCGGAACCGGCAAGTTGAAGACTCCGCGAAATTCGCAATCTTCAACTCGCGCTCTCAATTAACACATCGTTTTCTTCACAAAATCACTAGGGATGGCTCGGAAATTCGGCGATTTTATTTCGGTTTAACGTGGATTTTCTACGCACCATCTTGTGTGGCGAACGGTTGAACAAGAAAGAGCGAAAGAGAAGTTGACAGCCGCTGTCACAATATGGCGTGGCGGCAGGGTTGCATGTGACAGCTGCGCGTAACAGCACGCTGTTGTGGGTTGCGCCTAACAGCACACTTTTCGATTGTGCTCCGAGATTTAAATATAAAAATAATTTTTTTAATACTGATGGACTATAATATTTATAAATGTAATAACGGTCTTAAGTCTTTTAAAACATATTGTGTTTTCCATGAAAATATATACCACCACTTATTACATAGAACTTATTAATATCTAAGGTACAATAAAACACACAACAAAAATGTGCAATGAATCGAAGTTACCATAAGTATACAAATTCTAAAGTTGATAAAATATTGATGAGGCTCTCTTAAAAAAAAATCGAATGCATTTAATTTAATAGTGATTCACTCCAATTCGATCGACCCTCAATGTTTCCTGTCCAAAAGTTTTCAAATCTTATTAAAAAACAGACTTAAAGCCAATAAAATTCACGTAATTTCTCGAATGTAAGAACCAGAAACCAGATGGTTAATTTATTTGAACAAATCCATTTTTAATAAATCCTGCCTACTATTTTTTGCCAAATTAAGGTCAAATTTTTGTAACCCCATTTAATATAAAGGCAAAAGTTGTTTTATTCTGAACCAAACACATATCTAGTCTCTTAATAAGTATTAAAATTCATAACACTTTCGTTATGCCCTGCGATAAAAAGCACAGCAGTATATAGGCATTCAAATAATCTCATATTTTGTTTTAAAAATGTGCACTTTGTCATTAAAGTTGTTAAGCAAATCACAAACCATACTTAAATAAATTACATCATAAATTTTAAAAAGTTCAATGTATAAAAATAATACCTATGGTATTTTCTTTTAACAGAAGGCTTGCGCTTAACAGCACAGTTTCTACTATCGATTATTAGATACATTCGATAGTTCGTAGTAACATTGAGGGCATTTATGAATTACTCGTCACTAGCACAGTGGTTCGTTAGCATTTTAACAGCTGTGAAAAATGTTAAGTTGGTTGCTGTTAATATCTGACAACAGATGGCGCCAAAGTGTTGCCCGCCAATTTTGAATTCAAATATAATTAAAAGTTGATAAGTACTTCAGATATTTTGTACAACTTTTTATTTACTCATTTCAATGGAAATATTGAAATCAACTCAGTTCCCGAACACAGTTCCCCTTCCCCCGAAAGTAAAAAATGCACTCACTGGTTTAGTAAAAATATTCATTGTTTTATTTATGAAATAAATTATTATTATTTACATTGGAAATAATGCACGAAATTCAAATAATATTGCATACTAGGCGGTATTTTAGCACTGGACCGCTCGACGATACACACTCGAAAACAAAATCTACAAATTACAAGACTCTAGAAATACAAATACAGGGCGATACACATACATATAATGGGTAGGTAAAAAAAATAATGGAATGGTGCAGCTTGGTGCGGGGTAAAATTTTATAATCTATCGATCCTGTGCTGATTTTTTATACAGTAAGTTCTGTGGCACACGTACTACGATATTATTTGCTGCTGTTTTCTTTCTTTTCCGACATCTGGTGTGTGTGTGTGTGATTTTTGGATACTTCTTGAGGAATGGATGGATAGTTCTATCTAGTGTAAGTGTTTACGTAACTAATTTGCGACTATGAGCAAGTCGATTTGGCTTGAGACCTCAAACGAAACCAAGTTGCACATAATTTGGCTGCAGCTGTGTGATCTGCTTGCTGGGTGAAAGTTGGGATGGGTGAGTACGCCTTTGGGGGCGGGGAAATGGGGCGGAGGGTATGGTGAGGGGGAGTTGAGGGGGATGTGGGTGCTGGTGCCTTGCAACTAATTACTACGCCTCGCCTTTCTGCCCTGTTCACGCCTTTACATACAACTAATTCATAGAGAAAATTTAACTAAGAACCTTACGAAAGCTTTGCGAATAAATTATACGAGTTCGGACCAAAATCTTAGCACGAGTGCACATATACTTATAAAGGGGGATTCCCCGGAACCCTGGAGCCTTAAAAACCATGCAATTCTAGAAAAATAATCTCCGGTATTTTGAAAAACCCAAATGATTTTGTAAGATTTTGAAAATATAGAATTCAGATTCTGTTTTACAATGATATTATATGATATGTTACTCTCAAACCTCTAGATAAGATGGGGTTAATAAATCTCCAGAGCTCCCAGTATTTCGCCCCGAATAATCATCGCATACGAGTATATAGCTAAGTATTGACTTGCAAGTTAAAGGATCTCTTGCGCTGCTTGTTTAACATCTTGTTTTTCACTATGAACAGAAAAGTCTCCTCCAGATTTGCCGAACCCTTTTCTCGATCTCCCCACCGGCTGATCAACCTTACATAACTAAAGCGCGAAAAAAAACTGTTGCTAAAATTAAACAAAAAACGTTTCGTTGTTGCGCTCGCTTTGCAGCAATCAGATACTCGAATCTGAATCTGAAACCAGATCCAAATCCGAATCCGATTTCTACGCCGACTGCTGGCCTCGACTTTCGTTTGGCTACTGCCGCTCCACATTGATGGTGATGACCATGGTTGGTCAATAGTGGCCGCCACCACCGCCTCCTCCGCCACCACCACTATGCCGGTGGTGCTCGCGTCTGCCGGAGGATTGGTCCCTGTCGCGGTAGTCGCCGTTGCGGGAGCTGCTCTTGTGGTGGTGGTGGTGGTGGCGCTTCTTCTCGCCCTTCAGGCACACGTCGGACACCACCGAGGACACCACCATTTCGGAGTCATCCCGCATGCCATAGTTGTCCCTGCCGCATCTGTTTGGGGGACAGAGATAAGGGGGTTAAAATGGGTTTTACTCGGCATATCACAACATAAGTTTATTTTCAGAAATACGAAACTTTAACATCTCTAGTAAATTTACTCGCAAATTCTTCAGGAAATTCAGTTTTTGATGAATTTTTGATAAATGTAAGAGTAAAACTGGACAGTTTCCTAATACTTCTTAAACTAGAGAATTCACTTGTGAATTTATTAGTAAATTTCTCTCAAAAATATCAGAAATACGGAACTTTAAAATCTCTAGTAAATTTATTCGCGAATTCTTCAGGAAGTTCATTTTTTGACGAATATTTGATGAATTTATGAGTAAAATTGGACAGTTTATTAAAAAGTATACGAAATTAAGGAATTTACAAGTTAATTTATAAAAAAATTCCTTTTATAGTTTTTAGAAATGTTTTAAGTTTGGTTTTTTGGGATTTATAGCGATAAGTACAAATATTTTGTAGGTACTTAAAATTCAAAAAGCTTAATGTTAATATCTAGAGTTTTGAAAATTATATATTTAAGAGATCATAGATCAGTAGAGGTTTCTAATCGTTTTTATATAATCTCACCTATCAAGATTTTCGCGGGAGCGCTGCATATTATCACGCAGATTGTCACGGGAACGGGTCATGCTAGGCGGATCGAGGGTCTCCTTGCGGCGCAGGGCGTTGTGAGAGCTGTTTTTCGAGGCGGACTCGTGCAGGTTCTCCCAGGCTTGGCGGTAGTACCTACGGAAAGAATATTAGAATATTTAGAAATATTAAAAAAAATTGTTGTAACAAATTTTGTCATTTTAAGATGGTAATTGATTAATTAAAGGACTTTACACACAATTCATTTTCCATTTTCTAAGTATCTTAAGTTTTATAAATATTTAAGTTCTTAATCAAATTTCTTCAGGCCAATTAAGATATTTTAAGATATTAAGATACATTTAGAATACCAGATTTTTAAAAATTGAATATACAAAAATTTTATATTTAGTTAAGAATTAAGTCTACTTAGATTTGTATTAGTTTTTCAAACATAGTTCCCAAAATCTGAAGAAATAGGAGTTCTGGACCCACCTGTTGAGTCCATTGCGGGATCCGGAGGTGGAGCTATCGAAGCTGGCCACCGTGTTGCAGTCGGGCGAGGCGCGATGGCGATAGTGTTGCGTGGTTCGATTTCTGGGGATTGCAAAGAAATAATACCCATTAGTCGAAACTTTTCGCTTTCTAGTGATAATTGCTGAATGCCAGGACGAAAAAGTGTTGGGTTAGTTACAAGTTCAGGCAAAAAAAAACTAGGGTTAGACACGGAGAACTACGCACACAGAGACAGAGACAGATAGTGATGCATGGAGAGAGACAGATAGAGGGGGTGGCGAAAGAGACAGGCAGACAAAATAAGACAGAGACAGCGATCCAGGCGTGCAAAGTGTGTAAGTGTGCGTGTGTGAGAGTGAAAGAGAGTCCCGATTTTGTGTGGGCTTGTGGGTGGGTGATAGATGCTTTGATTGACTGATTGGTTGATTGATTGATTGACTGATTGATGGAGGTGCAACAGCAAGGAGTGGGATTATCGCCTCACAGCCCACAGCATTCGCAGCTTTTGGCAGCTTTCAGGTTTTATTTGTTTTTGTTTTCAGTGTTTCAGTGTGGCTTGTTTGATTGACTGACTGATTGATTGTTGTTTGGTGTGGTGTTGTTCTTGTTGTTGTTGTTGTTGGTTGATTGATATATATGCTGCTTACATTTGTGCATATGGCCGCTTTGAATGTTCTGTTTGATTGATTGAATGTTTTTGTGTTGCATCTTTGGCACGTTTTTAGTTTAGTGGTTCCAGGTAGTAGCAGGTCTCTTTGGCTTGGTTTTTCTCTTATCGGTTTTGTATCGGGTTTTTCGGGGATCTTCTGGGACTATTTCACATATGGGAACTGCTAAAGAGTCCGGCCCGGGCGCGATAGCCACGACCATAGCTGCTGAACTCCCGGCGACCCAGTTTCTGATCGTCGAAGGGCAGGGCCAAAACGCTGTACCACAGGGATGGGGCAGGAACCAGGTCCCCAGCACCACTCGACCCTATGCTGCCATAGTGGGCACCACCACCACCCCCAGTTAGTTGGGCTGTGGATGCGAAGCTGGTGGCACTGGTGGCCGTCGCCGTGGCATAGCTGGGCAGTCTGCTGGGCCTCGGTATTCTCGTTCCCGTTCCCGTTCCCGATCTCGATGCCGATCTTGAACCCGATCCCGTAAGCCCAAACCCGAACCCAAGACCCGCAACCTTCCCGATTCCGATTCCGATTCCCTGGGATTTCTTCGTTTGCGGTTGGTACTTCTGTTGGTGGTGCTGCTGCTGGTGGTGCTTCTTCTGCTGCTGCTGCTGTTGCTGTTGTTGGTACTTCTGGTGGTGCTGCTGGTGGAACTGCTGGAACTGGTGGATCTGCTGGTGGTGGTGATGATGAGCATGATGATGTTGGTAAGCGGTTAAGTGTTTGGCTAGGTGCCGCCGTTGGCTGTTCGGGGTGCTGACGAATTTGCGAAGTTTTGCCAAAAGACAGAGAGTGGGAGAAGCAAAAACGAAAAAAGAGAGTTGTACAACGAGAAAGAGAAAGCGTTCGATGTTCAGGTGTGCGTGTGTGTGTGCGTGTGTGATGTGTCTGTGTGCGTAGGAGACTCTCTTTTTTGCAGGTGTGTGTGTGATTTCACAGAGAGAGAAAAGATTTAAGTTCCGGAGGATGGGGTTTACTGAAATCAAAACAAAAGCCCTCCAAAGTTGGGTACTTGGCGGAGAAAGAGAGGGCAAGACATGGGGCTAGAGGGGGCAGAGCGAGCCGGAGACAGCGTGTGTGAGCTAGAGGGGGGGAGAGAGCGAGCGAGAGAGAGACAGAGGGGTGACTGGGAGGTGGTGACCCCGACAACGATCGACTTTCCTTCACACAGAACAAAAATATGGATATGAAATCAGGGTCAATCTGATCTTAATACAAATTTAAGTAACACTTTTAACCTTATAAACAATGATAAACATTGTATTCCATATCTCATTACACTAAATCTTCTTTTCAGCGTAAATTCATTTTAATGATATAACGAACTACTTACTCTTGGTTTAAATTTCAAAAATATTTCGTTGCATACTTTTAGACAGCTTTATATAAGATTTCATAATCAAAGTGATTTCTTGAAGGAGTATTCATTTTAACCCATCAATATGCTCTAAAATACTTCTAATTACGGAATGGTACTCTATTTTCTTTAAAAATAAGTTAATTATAATAACCATCAAACACATTTTAAAGATCTCGAAAAAATCTATATGATCAGAAGCATTATGCTATCCCCTCAACGATATAGAGAAAGGAATACTGTAATCTGTAATAGAGGCCAACCTATCAGTTTTAAGATGAGTAATTTTAACCATATTAATACAACGGAATAGTATATGGCAACCAGAATCACAACGATCTAGAATATATAGTATTATTGATCTGGGGAAAAGACCAAATTGACCTCGAACATATCGGACTGATCACTGATCACTCGCCGGCTGGCGGACTTACCTTCGCACGAGAATCACGATCGTGGTGATGACGGCGGCCAGGAAGACGAAGCCACCAAAAGCACCCAGAGCCACAATGGCGCCCAGATTGAGTTTGGCCTCCTTGGTCTCCTTGCGGTCGGGATTGTCGACGGCGAAGGGCACGTTGACATTCGGCGACTGGTTCTGCTGGATGTTGACGCTATCGGGGATCTCGTTGTCCTGCGGATGCGAGTTGGCGATGATCTGTTGCGTGTTCCGCGTGGTGGTCTCCACCGCTCCGCCGTTGGGGGCGCCACTTGGACGCGGGCTGCGCGGCGGGTTGGGTGCATAGGTGGATGGGGGTTGGGGTGGCACCTGGTGGGTGGTGGGTGGCAGGGCCGCCGGCGTGCTGTTGGGCTTCTTCGGGATGAGCACTGGGCGGACGGTGCGGCGGGGCGGGAACTCCTCGCGAACGGTTCCGGGCACTGGTGGCACATTGACATCCTCCTCGGATTCAGCTGGGGAAATAAATCGGAATAAAGTTATAATTATTTAAGTGATTATAGCTTAAAAGTTGTTCAAGAATAATCAATCATATTTATAAAGATTATTGTAACATTTAAGGTCTCAAAAAATAAAACACTGATTATACAAAAATGTTTCCTTAAATCTGAATTTCTAAGTCCTAAGTCCTCTGCTTTTTTTAGGTCCCGTTTCTCAATGTCATGTGAACTTTTGTCATTGAGTTAAATGTTTTTTTTTTTTAATGTAGTTTATTTTAGCTAATGGGATTGTTTTAGTTAGATTTGCCTTTGCCTATCCTGAATGGTTTGGTATGGTTATTCTATAAGTTAACTTAACATCACATTGAGAATTTGAAATTGCCTTTCCGAACAGTTTAACTTCATGTTATTTTTCTTTGACAGATATCCAAGTAAAAACTTTAAATAACATTGAGAAATTGGTTCGACGTATAAAATAGTAATAAATTATGTATGCCCATCTACTGATTCTTTATCACAAATATTATAATTTAAGATAACAAGATATTTATCTGCATAAATTTTGCTGTTAAGAATTGATAATGGCTCTAAAATTAAGTTATGGATTTTATTTTTAAATGAAGTTAAAAAGATAAGTTAACTAAAAACAGAAATAAATGTATCTGAAATATAAAAAAAACTGTATCTCCCCACGTTACATAATCTACTGTTATTATTTAATCTTGTTAAATTGAAAATTACGAAAAAACGTATTTCGTAAGCAATTTATTAGCATGTAACTAAAGTGCTTTGTTTCGAAAATTTGTAAAGATTAACCCAAGAAGACCCCAGAGCCCCAGGCTTTTAACCCCACACTTTGCACTCTACTCACATTCGCCGTTGATCTCCACCTGCGTGGGACTGAGACTGGGATACGTGCCCACTGTGCTGGTGGAACTGCTGATGCCGCTGCTCGCTGTGGAGACCACTGGTGGGCGGTAGGGGGTGCGGCTGGTGGTGGAGCTGACGACCTTGGGCCTGAAGGGCGGGGGCGTGGCCACCGATGAGGGCACAGGAACTGTGGGCGCGGCAGTGGGCTGAGTGGAGGGCTCCAGCTTGATGCAACGCGGCAGGGCGCTGCTCCATTGACCACTGGCCAAGCAGGTGAGCACTCGAGGTCCCTCCATGCGGTATCCCTGGGGACAACTGATCTCCGCCTTGGAACCATAGTACGTGCCATTGGGAGCATGGATAATGGTGCTGTAGTAGTTGCCAGGCAGGGTGTCGCACTCCACAACTAATGGGTGGGAAGGTAAGGATCAGAATTAGCAATCTTCAGGGTATTACTTTCATTTATTTCCTATACTTACTCTCGCAGCGCGGCGGTGGTCCATTCCAGCGTTCATCGAAATCGCAGGTGAGCAGGGCACGTCCTATCATCTCGTAACCCTCCTCGCAGGAATACTTCACTAGGCTCAAGTAGCCCACAGTGTTGTTCAGCAGACCATAGGATCCATGGGCAATGCTGGCCGGCAGACCACATTCGATATCTACAGATGTAAAAGCCGTTAGTTACCGTATCTTAAGAAACTCTTTGCAATATTCCAGTCCTAACAGTACAACTAACTGACTTTTAGTTCGATGAAAAAATGGCTTAAGACCACTAGAGACTTCTGTAGCTGATGCATCTTCTACAACTAGATTTACACTTTAAAAAGTCTAAAAGTATGTTCTGATATCTATAACATCCATAGTGGCATAATTTTAGACATATTTTTTTGGTGGTTTCAAAACCCTAGGAATTTCTGAGACTACTGCATCGTCTATAACCAGCGTGACTCTTCAAATTGTCTAAATCTTTTCTCTGATATCTACTACATCTATAGAAAGACGTTGATTTTTTTGTTAAGGCATACATTTAAGGCATGTTTTTAGATGGTTTCAAATCTCCAGAGGTTTCTAAGGCTGCTGCATCGTCTACAACCAGCTTGGCACTTAAGGAAGTCTAAAAGTTTGCTTTGTTCTGATATTTAAAGCATCCATTGAATCGGTTCTTTTTCTTAAGCATACTTATAGTCATTTTTTAGGTGGTTTTAAAACACCAGAGATTTTTGAGGTTTCTGTATCATTTACAACTAGCATAACAACTCAAGTTCTAAAAGTTTGCTCTGGTTTCTATTACATCCACAGAAAGAAGTTATTTTTAAAACAAGTACCTTTTGGTAACTTTTTTAGGTGTTTTAAAATCTCTAGAGATTTCTGAGGCTGCTGCATCGTGTACAACTAGCTCAAAGATGTCTCAAAGTTTTTTCTGATTTCTGTTACATCCATGGAAACAAGTCCTTTTTTAAAATACTTAGAGTTTTCTGAGGTGCTGCATCGTGTACAACTAGCACAAAGTTGTCTCAAAGGTTTTTCTGATTTGTATTACATCCATGGAAATAATTGCTTTCATAAAGCATACCTTTAGGCACCTTTCTTAGGTGGTTTCAAATCCCTAGAGATTTTAGATACTCACACTTGCACACTGGCGGAAACTCGTTGTAGAAGCCCGTCTCCAAACAGGTCCTTGTGGCAGGACCCACCAGCAGGTGGTTGGCATCGCAGCTGTACTTGATCTGGGCGCCCACCTCGAAACCATTCAGGGCCACCATCGTCGAGTTGGGCGGCTGCTCGGGTCGTCCACAGGTCTTGGGCTGATGTTGGCAGATGAAGTTCAGCAGCGTGTTGCAGTTGGTGTCGCTCCACAGCCAGCCCTTGGAGCCATCAAATCGGGCGCAGTCCTCATCGCCACCCGGATGACTCCAGAAGGAGACGGTCAGCTCGTCACCATTGACCCACTTCCAGCTGCTCCTATCGCTGCCATCGCGTACCGCTCCCATCCAGTACTGCGAACTGACGTCACTGCGGTGACGTCGCCACAGCTCCCAACTGATGAAACCCTGCAGCGCAGGATTACTTTCACTGATCAGTGTACCGCCACGGGATCGGCAGAAGGAGAGGGAGTCCAGGAAGTTCAGGGGCTGGCGGTTGTAGAAGATATAGCACTTGCCGTTGTAGGAGGCCAAAGCACCAGGCGGTTGATCCCGGAAAGTTGGACACCTTTCGATGGGCAGAGCCTGATCCGTGTAGACAAACGCCTCGCAGATGGACAGCGGATTCGGGGTGCTGTTCTCCAAATGGACGCTCACAAAGGCTCCTGGCATGGGTGGGTTGCAGGGCAGGAAGAGCGGTTGTCCCGCCTCCAGGAGACCCGTGAAGCGATTGCAGATAGGATTGGTGCCCAAGTCCGGCCTGTTGTTGCCCACTCGCACCACAATAGTGGCAGGCTTGTTGCCTGGGAATTGGAAAAAGAGTTATCTAGGTTATTACAAGTACTTGGAAAAACATATAACCCTTAAGGAAATATTTTTAAATATTTATTTTATATTTTTTAAGCAAGGTATTTAGCTCTATGTTTGACAAATTTTCATTAACAATAATACCATACATGAATATCTAAATAATCAAAACTATGTATAATGAAAACATATTAATCCGATTTTAAAGAACCCATGTAATTACAAAATTCTTAAATTGTGATAAAAAGATTACAATTATTTTTAAATATACTTAAACTTTGAAGGTTAAAAAAATGCTGTTAGTTTTTTAATAATTCACATTTTAAACAATGATCAACCAACTTAATGGTTATAAAAAATAAACATTAACTGGAAGAACGAAAAAAAAAATATTTTCAATTTTTAAAAGCTTTAAAACTTTTGATAAAAATGTTTAAAATATACTTTTATTTGTTTGATAAGTTTAAATTATTTTAAATAAAATGATATATGAAATTTTTTGTTTGTTTTTATAAGTGACAAGTTTTTAGAAATTATACAGATACTTGAAAATATTATTCAGAGAGATGTAGTTATTAACTTAATATGGGTAAGTAAAATATTTATATATTTTTAAGGTACAAAAATACTTGACATAGTAACTAGTACTTTTTATATGTGTACCTATACTTTGTAGGCCTTTAAAGCAGACTAAGTACTATTTATTATTTTCTTTTTGGCTATAAATATATATAAGTTAGAGCTGCATATTTTTTATAGAATTTCTAAAATTGGAATTTTGGTGATTAGGGAATTTTGTTCATCCTAAATCGTTATACATTGCCCAGTTTCTCGCAGTGCACAACTGCATCCCCAGCTATTTCTATTGGTATTCCTGTTGTCATTATCATTGTTATGGCTTTGTCTGTCAGCGGGTCAGGCGGGTTCACTTCAGTTCAGTTCAGATCGGCTTGGTTTGGTTTGGTTGGGTCTGAGCCTCGGCCTCAGCTTCAGCTTCAGCTTCAGCTTTAGCATCAGCCCCAGTCTCTGCCAAGTGAAAGTAATCATAAATTTCGGGCTGCACTGACTCACTGGGTCTGGGTTTCTTGGCTTTTGAGTTGGAGACCGAGTTGCCATCGAAGTCAAAGTGGAAGTCTTCGCTGTCGTCGCCAGAGCCGCACGAAAATCACATAACCAGCCGCCGATCCGAAGATCCGAGGAGATGGTGATGGGGATGGAGATGGGGATTGAGATGGATATGGAGATGGGGGGACTTCAGGTTGCTGGCAAGTGAAAGCATTAGGGAAAACTGGCTGGCAGTTGTTTGCTTTACCACCGCCACCGCCGCTGTTTCGACAACCCTTTTTTAAAACAAAGACGGTTGGGCTTCGGTTTTCAGTTTTCGGTTTTTGGGGGAGAAGATCGTGCAGCGTTTGCCATTTTGCTGGCAGAAAAGACTGGAAACCTGGCCAGCCTGGGAAAACGGGGCATTGAACTGTCCACCGGGCGAGAGAGTTTCGTCCACAGAATGCGGTCCGAGCAGGTCTATTATTCGGTTTTATCGCCACTATATGTTTGCGACAGGTTTAGGGTTGGGCCGCCGCGATAATGGTCGGCTGCGGCTTAATAAAAGCGAAAGAGTTGCTCAATTTAATCAATTTGCTCGAGGATTATCACGGGCTAAGCGCCATTTAGATATGGCTCTGCAGACTGGAGTTACCACGAAATTGTGGTTAAGAAAAATGGGATTAAAGTGGTCTTTATTGCATTATTCTGTTCATTCACTTTCTGTGTTAATTTTATCTTTTTTTACTGAAGTAGAGTAAGTATGTTACCATTTTTTGTTGGATATCATTTTGAAATTACACATTATCTACATATATCTTTTTGACTAACTTTATAAAGTTTCACTTATATGCAACCATGTTATTAAGTTAATTGTATTAAATGATATACAATACTTAAGGATTTTTATTACAATGGTGCTATTGGATTTTCTAGACTTTGGGTACTCATGTATATTTAATTTACCATTTTTGTGTGGTTAATATATTCTTCAAAAGTAAATATTTCACTTTTGAATATTTAAAAAACTTATTTTCAGGAAATTATAAATGGTAAACTCACCGCAGCAGGACTTGCCAAAGTCCAGGCGCACCAGTTGCACCATGTAGGGTTCCAGGAGGTTGACATACCACCAGGGCGATCGTTCCGCCTTCGTCAGGGAGCAGGTCTCTGGAGTGAAGAAGGCAGAGGTGGAGCCATCGATGGCCTTTTGTGGAGCACCGGCGCCATCAGTGGAAATCTGCATGGGCGCCTTGCCAGCGGCAACATTCAAAACTGCAGAGAAAGTAAGGTATTATTTAATAATTTAATTGACTTTAATGAACATAAATTTAAATGTAGACTAAACTCATTAGGTTATACGCCTCAGCAAGTTCTACTTCCTATCATAACTAACATAACTCGAATAAATACTTGTGTTACTTGAAAGGTTTTGCCTTTTCAGCAACCTTAATTTTAATATACCTCAAAAAGCTGCCTTTAAAATACGGATTTTTTGTAACTTTTGTTAAGGTCTCAACAGTAAGCCACAGATATGTGACATTATAGATTACCTTTCTGCATATAAAAACAAAGAATCTATGACCAAACAATTTGTTAATTAAATGGATAATTATTCTACTCAAATAAGATTTTTGTAAAGTAAGTATGTTAACACTTATAAGTTTTTCTTAAATTTTCTTTTACACATTTGAATTCCAAACTGATTAATAGACAAATATTATTACTAGACGTTGGATTACATGTGAAATTGATTTTTTTAATATTTAAGATTTACTGGAAGCCATACTTGATTGGTTATACAATTTCTTCATTATCATATTAATTTTAACCTTAGTCAAGTTATAACTTTGTGCAAAAAAAATAAAAACTGACAATGGAAGAATCGTGAAAAAACGGAGCTTTAAAAAGAGATTTCAAATATAATCCATTGTCTAATTGTTACAAAATTATGTTTTATGGCAAGTGCAGAGATGATAATCATGAATATTTTATTCTAAGTGCACAGATAAGGGTCATAGGTAATTATTTGAGAATTCAAGGCGCAATGCGGCGATGAAGATCAGTCTTGGGCTGATTTTCCAGTGGTTTGTTGCCAGTTGGAGTTGGATTCAGTGTCCAAAACCGAGTGCCAGAGTGCCAGAGTTCCCAGAGTGGGCCCAAGGCCCGGCTAATTGGCCGCGGGCCCTGACACGGTTTGTGGCCAAAACAAGACGAAACAAAGCAATAACAACTCAAAGAGCCCAATAGCAAACAAAAAGCACACACAATGTTCTGCCTCGGCTGGCGAATTTGTCAAGAGGCCTTCGTTCTGGCCATTGTCTTTGCGGCCAATGGAGATTTTTTCGCTGGCCAAAAAAGCAAAAGTGAAATTTAATGTCGGCTCAACTTTTACTTGCTCACCTGGCCGGGCTTAATTACATCGCTCGCCACGCACTTCTGCGGCATTGGGATTCATTAATCAGATGCATCTGTCGGATAAGACAGGTTTCGGCTTGGGTTTGGGTTTGGGATTGGGTCTTCGGGTCTCGAGTCTTGAGTCTCGTATCTCGAGTCTCCAGCTCAGCGGCTTGGAAACGCCATTTGCGGCGACTGCTTTCTAACCCCACTCGGGCTCCATAAGCCCCCGCCCCAATTTCTCTCTGTGTAGCAGCAGGTGTTGCCGGTGTGACAAATGCCTTTTAATTGCTTTTAATTAATTCCCTATCGCCTGACTGCCTATCTACCTCCCTGCCTGCTGTGTCACGTCGAATTCGAGTTCGAATTCCAAATCCCGGCCTATAGATGAAAGACCATTGGTTTTCAGGTCGCTTACTTCGGCTTTGTTTTCCATTTCTTTTATTTTCCAACGTCATCAACTTGCAATCAGCACTGACAGCGGGGGATTTGAGGGTCAGAAACAGCAGCTAAGTGTCTATAAATCTCACGATTTGATCGAGCCCGGGTCAAGGAATCGTAAAGGAATATTAATGGATTCACACAAAAAAAGGAAAATTAAAAACTAATTGGGTCAGTCCGTGAAAAAATATAATAGTTTACAACTCGATTTCATTTTACTTTCCTTATACAAATTCTTTAGACCATAACTGCTTTCTTATAAAAGGCATGGTTATTAAGAAACCGATTCTATTTGGCTTTAAATCAATTAAGAAGTCTGTTAAAACTATTTTTCATTATTTTACTTTCATTTAATTTGAAAATTGTGGTGGAGTAATTTAGATCTCATGGTTTTGTGAGCCTTGTCTTTCTCGGAACCTCTCAAATTCCCTTTAAGCCCCCCCCCCCCCCAAGGTAATTCTTTAATTTCTCCAGATTTTCCCAGGCTTTATCAACGCGCATCAACACCTACTACTGTCTTATTTGATCGACTTATCGCTGATATATCTCAGTTTGTAGGTCCCAACAAAAGACCCCGTCGAAAGTTTGATGGATTGTTGAAGTGCCGCCTTTTTCGAGAATTATTTTCCGCCCCTCAATCGATCAGTCCATTCAACAAACTCCGGTATTCATTGATTTGAAAACCATTTGCCAGCCGCTCTGGTTGTGTCAATCAAGTTGTTATTTGTGTTTGGCTAGCGGAAGTGCATGTCTAGTTGGAAATTCGTTTAGAATATTTATTTATTTTCGTGCCCGACACGTTTTAGCCTTTTATTTTTCTCGTGCCTGTTTGGCTTTAACGTTTGTAGTCACAAAAAAGTGGGTCAATCTGGTCGAGCGCGGCAATTGTTGAATTCTTCCCACCTCGCGGCCTCTCTTCGGACCCCCGTCTTTCTTCGCATTCCGCTCTTTCTGAGCCGCCCCTCTTTCTTCGCACACACGCATTGGATTTTAGCCCAATTTTGCGCGTTTTGTTAATCATGTTTCGCTTTTGGTTAACAACTTTGCATTCAATCGGAATGCCATTTGCTCTCGTTCGTTGTACACAGAAAGAAAATCGAGCTTCACAATAAATCTATAAATGTACTTATTCATCTGTTGTAGTCCTTTTAGATTTCTTAGTCTTTTGATGGATTTTATTCCTTTTATCTTGATATATTAATGTCATGTGCTGCCTAAAAATAATTTTGAACTTAAGAAAAAGTTTACTTTTGGAGGTTAGCCTACTGAATTTAAATTATTATTAGGTTATTAGGTTATTAAAACAATTTCTAACACTTTCTTGTTCTAAAAAATATATGTAGATTTCCAAATGATTTCATGTTATGTTTTTTTATAAAAACCATAACTGTAACCATAATTAATTAAAGATTACAATCTTTCACATTTTTAAAACCATTTCTAACATTTTCTAGTTCATTAAGATATACGTTGATATACAAATGATTTAAAAAGGAAATATGTATTTTTTTATAAAAAACTATAGCTATAATAATGGTTTATTTAATTTTAATATCTTTTAAATTCTTAGTTTCAAAATATGACTTAATTTGGAAGATTTTTTCTTACTATAACTCTGAGAAAATTGGCTCGAAAGTTTGAATTTTTGTTTAATAGTTTTACTATATTTCTGAGAAAATTAGCTCGATTTTTTGCGATATATTTAAAAACTTTACTTTACTAAACTTTAAATTCTCTGTACATTATAGTATTTTTCTCTGTGCTGAAATATTTTGAGAACGCTTCAAATTTCGTGGCGGTGAAAGTAGTTCCCAGTCCACGTCCGATTTGGAATCGAAGTCGCCTCTGATGCGCTAATTGAGTTGACGAACGACGAACGGCGGGCGAGTTCGTGTCCGCAGTCTTTTGTTTTGAGTGCCATTGAATGCTTACCGCAGAACGGGATGCCCTCGGGCACCCACTGCCCCTTGTCGCAGACGCGTCTCGCCGGTCCCAGGAGCTCGAAGCCCCGCTCGCAGCTGTAGGAGGCCACCGTGCCCTGGGTGAGATTCGCATTCGAGAAGACCACGCTGCTGTGCGCCGGCGATCCCGGGAAGCTGCAGCCGGCATCTGAAAGAACACAAAAATGGAGAAAAATATTAGATTATGTGGCCATCAATTATGGGGGGAAGCATTCTTCTGCGATTGCCGCAACAGTTCTCATCGCCAGTCGCCAGTCGCCACTGCCCCAAAGCGAGCAAATCATTTTTGATTGATTTCCCAATTAGACTGCGATGGGGTTCTCAGCGAATTGAGTTGCCCAGCCATTCCCCCATCATTTATCAAACTGATTCCCCACCAAAAAGATTCGATTAAATGTTGATTAGCTCCAACGGAGTGGAATAATATTGATTCTGGGGTTCTAGGGTGTCGGGAATGATTGAATATTATTTAATTGAATTTAGAAAATCAAGGAATTGATTGCTTAGATTTATGGTTTCGATTAAATATTGATGGGGAAAGCATAACATTTTTAATGTGATGATTTGGTATTAATTAAAATATTAATCAAATTTAAATCATCTATAATTAAAGATTTTATTGAAACTTGGGAAAGTCACTCAGACATATTTAAATACCAAACTTCTAGGAAAGATAGCCATGATCTTTCCCTACCTTTTTTGGAATTTAATATTGATTTAAGTAAATAATAATAAAAATATAAAAATAAAATATTTTAAATGCGTAAAACATATAAGTTGTGAGGAACAACGGCTGTTTTAACAATAACTAAATCATGTTATGATTGATTTTGATTGCCAATCAAAGAATCTCAGCTATTTGCCAGTATTATGTGTTATTTTCCTTCAGCTGCCTTGTCAGGGGTATTTTCCCCAGCATTTGATTGACAATTAAGCAAGTTCCGTTCCAGTTTGGTCACTCCACTCGACGCCTGGCGAAAAATCTCTGGCATTCGCAGATTGCAAAATGTTCTTGACTGTTGTTGTTTTTAGCTGCTGCTGCTGTTGCTGCTGCAATGCAAAGCGTGAGAAAATGGCCACAACAACACAGGGAAAAAAAAGCGAAATAAAAAACAGACATCAATTTAGTTGTAGCTGCCGCTTGTACGAGTGTATCTATGCAAAAATGCGAGCCAGCCGTGTGCAATAATCAAATGTGTTGCTGCTGTTGTATGATTAGTTATTCAATTGAGCAGTTCCCAGGCTCAGATTATCGGACTATCCAGCTATCTGGATAGCCAACCATCCAACTATCCAATGTCATGAGTTGATTCATCCCCTTGGCTGAGAGCTGAAATTGTTCTTTGGCCAAGTGCGACTTAGCATAATAATCGCGTTGAGGGGCCGGTTAAAAAGGCAGTCAGTCAGGCGGCGAGGCATGCCATAAATGGTCGAATAACTGCAACATCATTTGACCAACAGGCAACAGCAGTGCCTTGCAACTTTCCAAGCAGCTGCAGCTGAATAAAAAATAAAAAAAAACACGTCTTGCCCAGTTGTTGCTACACATTGCAGCCAATTGCTGCGGCAGCTTCTTATACAATCTCGATTCCAATTGCAATTCCCCGATTCCCCGATGCCAATGCCAGTGCAATTTCATCATAACGGTTTCTTCTCGACCAACTCATCCAAACGATCTTTTAGCTCTTTTAGCCACTCCAATTCACTGGATACTTGGTAGAAATGTACACCTCCCGCTGGCAAATTAGTTCGGGCAAATTGAAATTAAACAAAAGGCAACTTTAGGCGAGTCATTTGTCATGCAGGGCAAACGCAAATTAAGAAATCAAGTTCATGAGGCATTTTCAATTTCGGTTCAGTTTCGGTTTCGGTTTCAGTTTCGGTTGGATTTAATAGGAGGAAGAGGGCCCCACATTTAATGACGACTCCCACGCTGTGCGTCGAAGCCCATGGAAGTCGAGAAACCCGCGAAACCCGCGAAACCCAAAGGTTGCCCAGTCGTCCATGCATGACAATGTGGGGGCTCCGAGTTCGGAGCTATACAATTTTTTTCTTCTTTTTTTTTTGGGATCTGTACTTTGGCTTTTCTGGGCTGTATATCTTCTTTTTTTTTTGTCTGTCTTTTATGGAGCCGAGTGGGAGCTAATACCCTAAAGTGCAAAGGCAGACAGCAACTTGTTGCCATTGCCGTTTGCGTTGCTTTCATTTGCTTTCTATGTGCGCGAACTTAGTGAAAGTGATACCCATGCCCCATACATACAGCACACAAAAATGAATAAAAAAAATAATGGAAGAAAAATATATATAAAAAAAGCACGCCACCATTGACAAAACAACAGCAGCAATTTGTTCGACAAGCAACTACACAGCAACTTTGCCAGCGGCCAAAACATCCAGCATTATGGAAGTATGGAATATTCAGTGTGCGCCTCTTGGCGCGGATCAAAATCATCTAATAGTCATTATAAGCATAATAACCGTTATAACTCCAACTAGTTTCGGACATGGTCCGTTGTTGCAGTTGTAACAAATTACCCATCAACGCCTTTTCTCTGATTGCCTTTGCCTTTGCTTATGCTTTTTTTTCGCGCTGTGGAAAAAGTGTAGCACCAAAATCGAAATTGTTTGCACAGTTCACCGAAAAAAAAAATAAAACAAATTAAGAGAGAATTGAATGTAAAGAAAAGTGATTGACTAGCAGTGGCAGCAGGGAAAAAAACATATTTGAAAAAACGAAAGCGGGAATTAATTTGGGGTTGCTGCGGTCTGAGGAAGGGAAGATATTTGTCCAATTGGAAGTTGAAAAATTGTGATCATAAATTAATTGGAAGTTTTCAGATAAATTGTAAATAAAATCTGGCTTATGGAAAAATAATTAAAATTACTTTAATATTTTATCAGATATATTTCCAACTTAAATTGGAAGTTGAAAAATTAGGATCATAAATAAATGATTGAAATAAATTTTAATTTAGTTTATTGAAAAACAATTAAAAGGACGTTAATTTCTTATAAGACATTTTTCCCACTTAAGTTGGAAGTTGAAAATGATGATCATAAATAAATGTCAAAAGCTTTAATAAATTTAAAACTAGCTCTAGATTGTGGAAAAATAATAACAATTACTTTAATTTCTTGTAAGATTTTTCTTACCATTTAAAATTGAGTTACTTTAATTTTGTATAATATTTATTAATCAAAAATAAAGGTCATTTTACGGATAGTAAGTAGATAAAAGTATTTTTAATGGAGTGTTTTCTTTATTAACTATCTTACTATTTATTTGACTGGTTTTTACAATAAATTTTGAGTAAGTGATGATATGAATCAGTTTTTTTTTGGACTGAAGAAAAGCTTAAGACCTAAATGGTACACCATTGAATCAGTGATCACAGACATATCTAGCCCTATTTATATGCAAAATACAGGTGTGAATGGTCCACCATTTCCGCTTAAGTGCGAACCTCAATAAATGCGATTCAGCGGCTTAAAGTGCAGTTGAAGCTAAAGCTGAAGTTGAACTTCAACTGCAATCGCTGCGTAGAAAGTGGCTCCCTGAGGAGGGGACTAATGGTGACCCCCACTTATGGCTCGGTCCCAGGCCCAACCTGCATGCTCCATTCTTCATTTTCCATATACCATATACCATATACCATATACCATTTTCCACATTCCCCACTGCACTCGGCAGTCTGCAATTTGCGTATGTCGGCTAATTTCATTTTAAATGCAAGTCCACACCTGTAGGTACATTTTGTTTTTTTTTTTATTTTGTGCCTCGGGGAGTACTATCCGCATTGTTTCAGCGCGTTTTATTTGGTCAGCTCATTGGGGGGACACAGACGACTCTCTCGAGCCAAACGCTAATTAGTCTTGGCTCTCGCAGTGGGAAAAAAAGAAAGATCTAAGATCTAAGATTCCAGCGCCAAGATCCAAAATCCGGTTAAAGGTTTTCTGCAGTGAGTGCAGTTCTGGGACGTCATGCGCTGATTGCCAGGCGCCTACGCTTCGTCGATTATGCCGCATCTGGTGATCTCGATGTTAATATCTTGCCGTGTTTTTTTGGGCGGAAAGTGCAAGTGCTGCCACCGCAATCCGCACCCGATGGCCCAATTGCGATAGCCCAGGTTTTCCCTACTACGGCCAAAAGAAAAAAAATGGAAAACAAACTGAGGGAAAAGAAATTTTCTTTCCATTCACTCAAACGGCGGGAGTTTTGGTAGAAAAGCGGCTCGAACCGTTAGTCCCCCCCAACATAATGGCCATAATATAATGATGATGATGATGATGATCTTCATTTGTGGAGAGGGGAGTGGGGGCTGGTGGGTCTTGACCGCTGATTGGTTTTGGATTTACATAAATTGGCGCTGGAATGGAGCTCGCTCTCACGCAGCTTCTTCTCCCTTTCGACGCTCGTCTCTTGACCCAGTTAACTTGGCTTTTGGTGGTGTTTTTTTTCGCTTTTTTCGGTTTTTTTCTTCTATTTTTTGGTAAGCCAAATTAGTAGAACCTCGTTAAAATCGCACACAAACAAAAAAACACAGAGTCGGAGAACATCGAAAAGGTTTCGCAAGTGACTCGGTTTGCGCAATGTGGCCATTGTTGCTTTTGTTGGCGGATGCGCCTGGCCAGACGAAACTTGTGCAAGCTGCAAGTTCGTTGCCTAAGTCTTTTGATTTGAACTTCCGCCAGGGGATCTCTCTTGGGTATCAATGCGCTCACACTGAGCGAAAAGTGGCTAATTAAAGTGGCTAATTAAAAACAAATGGCGTTGGCTATTTCTGCTTATTTATTTAAATTTTTTCAACCCATTTTTGTCACTTTTGCCAATACACTGTGAAAAAGATGTCAAATATTAAGCCTATTCTAATTTGGTATTTTTTGTATATGTATTTTTTTAATTTTTTTAACAATGTATCACAAAATTTTAGATTAAAAAATTTGATTTGTAGTTAAAATATATATAATATCTATATAAATAAATTCATGAAGAACTGTAAAATTTAGTAATTTTAGGGTAATGTAATGAAGTTTGCTTTTTCTAAGTTCTCATTTTGAAGAATAAGTATTATTTATAGGTGGAATTATAAAAAAATTAAAATATTACCATATTATTTACAAAAAATACAAGTAAAAATATTTAAAAAA